AAGAAGAAGAAGAAGAAGAAGAAGAAGAAGAAGATTGAATGTGAAAGAACGAATGAATGAATGCATGGATGAATGAATGAATGAATGAATGAATGAATGAATGAATGAATGAATGAATGAAACAGCCACAACTGGAGTGTGTAAACATAAGGCCACCAAGAAGCGCCAGGCCTGCGATAGATATCGGCGGTCATGGTTTTCTTTGCCCAGGCGCTCTAAAAAGAGATGGCATCAACCAGGCTTTACCCCGTCACCCATTTTTCCAAGAAAGTTGCACTGGGTCTTCTACTGATTCATTTGCCTTCAATTTTACCAGCAAGAGCTGGTTGTCTAAAACCTGTATGTTAATTCAAGTGACCCAGAACTGCATTAATTTGTCTTTTTCTAATGCATTTATTAGTGAGTGGCCCTTATGGGTTTTTTAAGTACTGCTTCATTAATTGATTTCTTTTCCTTCTAATACATTCTCTAGCCTCCTAAGAAACCACATTGTTGTTCCCTTTGACTGTCGTCCAGCATTTATTGCTGATAGAAGGATTCCCATTACACGTACGATTCGAATAATTGAAGGGGAACAAAAGCAACAACAACAACAACAACAACAACCACAAAAACAAAAACAACAAGTACATAGCCAAACGTAAGCCTCTATTTCATATACGAAATCGTAAACCCTTCTCATTTTATGATTATCACAATCTCCGTAACGTAATGTTTAACAAACACGTATACTAGACGGACAGTTGACGTTGGTACTTGCTAATCGCGCTGTCCTCTGATGGAAGAGAAACCGATATTTTCTCCATGGATCATATCTAGCTATCAGTCATGCTCTTCTGTCTCTATGAGACCGGCAATCTAGGGTGCAGCGATTCGACTTGCCAAGTAAACCCAAAATGTGCCATGAAATAGGCGGTCAGAGCAGAGGCCTGGACAGTGGGCCCCTATTTCTTGAGGGCTTGTAGTCGGCTGTGTGGCTATAAGAACGTAGAGGCCGTGAAGTAACGTTGACAGAACCAACTCGTGTCCCGCTCGATCATAATTATTATGACCTTGAGCAGTTTGCAAGCACGGTTGTTTTATCGGGTATCTCAATCTTCCTGCTCGGGTGCTATATCGAACCTGGCCCGGTTGGTCCTCATAGGTTGCTTTAAAGCAGCCTCTGTTGATTACCAAAATTATGTCAATAGAAGTGTAAATATCTTATAAAACGTATTTGTCTCTAATAGACGATCGTACCTATTCTTGAATGTTGTAAGGAAAGCAAGAATCCTTCTTCTAAAGATTTCATGAATGAGAGAAATCTAGGCTATACCTTTTTTATTATCCATAGGCTCCCCAACCCCCTTTCCTTTACTAGATACTTTTTTCAATACTAAAACACCTTGAGGCTTAAATCAACTGTGTATTAATTTCATCTCCCAGATCTCATTAACGTTTCCTGGACGAAAGACTCACAGTCCAACAAGACCATTGTGGATATAAAAGAAACTGCGTAAGTTAGTATGGGTGTGGTATTGCTATATTAGCCCCTAATTTCTGCCACGAGTCGTACCCATAGATCAACAAAGTCCGAGGATACCTTAGGATGATCAAGACCATGGAGAACATAGAGGAACGTTGTGAGGAAAATTTAACAGACGGAGAGCGCACGCCACTTTTGGCAGTGCCTACTTCTTTGACGTCATCACTTTCTGCGCCCTCTCTGTTAAAGCAATCTGAGGCGGGCTTGGCGACTTCTACAGACCAAAAGGGCATGGCGCTAACTCCTGAGCCCATTCAGGCCCTACCATCAAGTCCCAGTTCGAGCTCCCGGATTGGAATAGCAGCAGATTCGTCGTTACCATCAACTGTAGGGTCTTCCCCTCCATCGCTGTCATCGTATTCGCCGTCATTTACGTCATCGTCATCGGTGATGAAAAGGATGCCACATCTTCACAAACTTGAAAAGTAAGAAGCTGTTTACTGTTATGTTTTTTCAATCTATATCTCATATTCTCAATTTTAATACACATTTCACATCATCCTTTCTCATCCACGTTTCATAATTCTCTTTGCCAACCAAATTTAATATTCTCCTTTGCAAAGCGTTTATCTTATATTCCTTGATTTGCCCATAGCATAATAAAATTCTTTGTCAATACAACTTTTGTGCTCATTTTCTTCTCATACTTTATCCTCTTTTCACGTTCACGTTATCCTATAATTACATCCTTCTTTCCTGTATATAATATTATACTCTTATGTCTAGTACATTTCATCTCTTCCGTTTCCCGTGTACATTATTATTCCCTTCTGTTGAGTATTCGTCCTATTATCTAATATGATATATTTTGTGCTTTGTGGTATCTATGTCTGCATTTCCATGAACTATGAATTACTGAGGTACCTTATTAATCGACTAATTAGGTACAGAGTGTTCACAGCTATTTCTATATCTGACGTAAGCTTTTTATCAGCCCACTTCCCCTAAGTGTTGACCCCCGCCGCTCCAACCGTCTTTCCCTCTCCTCCTCTCTCCTTTTCTTTCCCAGACACACTCTTGTTCTTTTGCCTTTCTCTTTAACTCTTTATCTTTCTAATCCCCCCATCTCTCTCTTTCTTTTTTTCTCTCTTTCTTCTCTTTCTCCTCCGCTGTCGTCTTGATCAATCTCTTTCGTTCCTCCAAGTCATTCCACGTATCCCCCCCCCCCTCTCTCTCCCCCC